TTTGAGGCTTCACGAAATGAAGAACTATGAAGCCCTTGAGGTTCCACAGCTTTGAGGTTTGCATTCTACAGGTTGTCTCTTACAGGTTCCCGTTGCCTGAGGATTGCACGTTTGTGGCTGGTCAATCCACTGCAAGAAACGTCCCCTGCCCAAGAGTGTGAGCCTACAAGGACATGAGCTTTGGCCGCGGCAGAAGCAGAGGGATGGCAGGTCATGACAGTCATTGGGGTGATCTTATAGGGCTATATATATATATCTATTGGGGTTATATGGGGATACCGGAAAAGAAAATGGAAACTACTCTGGCATATTGTGGTTATATGGGAGCATGAATGATTCTCAGCGAAAGTGTTCTTCTCATGGGGCATGCGTTACCTTGCCCTAGCTGCGATAGCTCTAGAACAGGCCATTGATTTCTTCACTCTCTAGCGTACTAGTCGACATGTTGAATAGCGGCCTTTCGCATGACTGTTAGCACCGGAGTCTTTCGGAAGACAGCTGCAGTGGAAGCCTTCTTGATGACAGGAACCATTGTTGGCCGCTACAAGATGGCCAAGTCTCATCCCCCGAGGTCGAAGTGATTCAGGGAGGGCTCAGTGCACAGATCTAGGCGCTGTGGACCCCATGCAATCCTGCAATGAGTGCCCGTACACCTGCGGGGGAGTGGAAAATGCCTCCCCCCCTCAATAGCCTAATGATTCTTGACCCACCTGCGGTCCGAGCTGCAGATTCTCCGCGCTTGCAAATCGATTAAAAAGCTTGGATGCAGTGGGGCCCGAGTCGTATGCAGTGGCCACTGATCTGTCAATGTCATCCAATCAAAGTACCGCTCCAATCTGCCAGAAGATGGTGAAGGCTGAAGATGAGCGCCGCACTTTCTGTCGGAAACGAACTCGTTAAGCGGCAGTGAATCGTAACATGTGTTCCGCAGCCGCATTGATTCAGTAAGGTTCCTGTTGCGTGGTCCCGCAGCATGGATCCCCTGTACACAGTAATCGTGCGGAGTGGTTCTGTCTTCCAGTGCGACGACATACGATAATCCTGGGTAAAGCTAGTCTCACCTCATACATCGGCAAGATTCGTTTTGAGCATGTTGGGCCGCGCCGAGATGTGCCACAAAGGTGGGCCGGAGCGGCTGCGGTCTAGAGTCAGATTCCCGCGCTCTCGAGGCAAATGCGCTGTGTTCACCTTGATAGGGGCTTCTTTTTGCTGGTGCTGTTGTGCTACACTCTTTGGCATGTTTACACCCACACCAACTATCCTGAGGGAAGTTGTTGACGTAAACTGTGGTATAGAGTATGAAGGGGAAATGCAACATAGCATAGAATTTGTAGTTTCCTGCTGAATGCTGCTGCGCACTGCAGGAGTAGATAGCGTAACACCAAACTCTAATTTTCTAAGGAGACCGACAGATATCGGATGCAAATTGAGCTATGCTGCCGGTGCAGGGTCTTTCAAAACGGAAGTGTCCTGCAAAGAATGAGTATGAATGACTACACAAGTGTGTGACAGCGCCCCTCTTGTAACGCGTAGACTCCAATCCTTCAAGGCATTTCTGCTTCAAGAAACTGTTGGAAGATCAACAGGCACCGAGGGCTCTTGTCGTCCTGCTGGGCTCCTGCAATTCGACAGTGATTTCTAGGTGCAACGTTGAAGTCCTATTGTCTGCCAAGGCCGCTTGAAGTTTGCCGCGTGATTCATTGAGCTGGTAGCAACTTGGGAAGCACATCAAGAGCCATGCGGCTAAGCATGATCAAGGCAGACAAGACCTTCATCCATGATAGAACGTCATGGTACCTGAGTGACTTCGCAGTAACCATGTACGATTGCCTCCTAAATGCGATATCAAGCTCGAAGCAGCATAGCAAGCTGGGAGCAGGACCCGCATGCAACTGATCACGGGCGTCACGCTGACGGACATGGAACTTGTGTGTTTTGAGGTTCTGGCAAACTCTATTCATGTAAGCCTACCCAGTCAGCGTGAGCAGTTTTGAAGCTATGAGACGTGTCGCTCGTCTTACTATGAGGTCATCGACATCTTCGCTGCCTCCACGTAGCGCAATGATTCCTGCAGGCAGACGGCGGATGTTTTGGTTTGGAAGGGTCAATGGGCGACTGCCAGCACTTGTCGCTGCTATTTGCTGCTCAAGATTACAGGGCTACCCTCTGAGAGCAGCCATGCATGGACCTGCAGCTAAGCAGATCTGTCAACTCAGTAAAGTGTTGGTGATAGATTTCTGCGACCTCTACACAGTTGTGGCCGTGTATAACTTGCGCCTGAACCGGGCAACACCGGGGGCGGATTTGAGTGAGGGTCAATGCTCCTGCAAGCTGGCACAACTGCACCGCCTCCTTCAGAATCACAAGCCCACGCCATTGGCTTTTCTCTGGAGGCGAGAAATTTCTCCCACTGAAGTGGAGGTTGACCACGTAAGCGGGTTAAGCCCCGCCGTCATGACCGCGCGCCAGATGAGACAATTCATCCGGCCTGTGGAAAAATCTGCCCTAATAGTTGCTGCAAAGCGGGTCATAGGGGGCATGCGCGTCATTCGGGAGGCTTCTTGATATCGACTCTGCATCGATTCCATCCATGATGATGGAGGGATCCATCGGGGCACCTTTCGGGTACTCTGCGGCCTGGGGCCGTGAAACTGACGGTGAAGGTTCAGATGGTGAAGTTTGGCTGTATGATGAGGCTGCACTGCTACTGCCCAGTGCTCTGAGCTTTCTGGATTCCGGAAACGAGAACCACGTCATGACTGTGCAGATAGACCTGAGCGGGAGAGTTCCTTTCCAGAACGACGTAAGCGACGTGTTCTATTCAATGACAGGGGATGCTGACCTTGAAGATGTGCAGCTTCCTCGTGATATGTGCTACCTGGCGATTTCTGGGCGTGTGCCACGCGGCAGATTCCCGCTGTATTGGCGTCTGCTGGTGTGCACCTTTCCCGAGTACTACAACTTCAAGCAACTGTCAGCGCAACCCATCGACCCAAGTTCTGAGCCAGCCCAGGTGGCCCTGATGCAGAATCCAGTGTGGGTGCTAAACTAACCCAGGCCCCTGATTAATAAACATCCTCCCTAAATTGGGATTATAACAGGGATCCTGACATCAAAGCCCTTAAAGGACGAGGTTTACTGATCATGGGTCTACATTAAGCGGGGAAGCTGCTTTGGCCCACATGGTCCGCGGGATGCCTGCAGGATTTTATGCACTCCGGCGTCTAGGCAGACGGACAAGTTGCATGCTGAGAGATCTCCCGACAAAAGCCCCCATGCCACTGCATTGGTTTCCGGGTTTAGGGTTTAGGGTTTTGAAGATGCCATGGTACGCCATCTGGTGTATGACATTATTTTGTTTCAGCTGCTTCTGCAACTCTCTGCCTCAACTCTAAAACTTTGGCCTTTGCCAGGAAGGATGACAGATGCGCCACTGATCGCAGGCATCTTAGATTCAGCATGCACCGTCTGGAAGCCCGAAGAGTTGACGTTATCCCCGTCTATACCCCCAATGCATACCCGATTATACAAAAGTAGCGTCCCTTTTCTTTTCCATTATCCCTACATAGCCCTAATTCTATTTATATTGTACGCCCAAAACTCTGTTCTAATCATTTAGGCCCCTGCACTATCTACTGATTCAGCAACCTTCGCAGGAAGCAGCGACAACATAGGGGTACATAACAGATGGGGGGGTTTCCCAAAATGGTACCCCCTTGGGGGTCCCTATAATAACGATTCCAGTATTTTGGGGTCTATATTGGGGTCCCTTATTTTGGGAAAATACCATGTATAAGACTTTAGGGGAGAGAGAGAGAGTGGTTGCAAATGGCAGGATGGCAAGTTCGTGTGGCGATACCTACCATGCTGGAACTCCACAATAGCACACGACCTCCTTGTAGCCATCCTTCCAGGGACCTAGTATGAGCTATAGTCTAAACTCCTTAAAAGGGGTATATAGGGGATTATATAGGGAACTACTATAGAGGTTAGTAAAGGGGATACTAGGAGTTTAGTCTATAGCTCACATAGTGTTTCAGTCTTTCACCCCGATTTGTTCGCCTACAGCTAAGTGTGGAGTCACGAGGGTTGAAGTAGTCAACCGAGCAGCCCAACAAGGGCTGGTCATTGAAGCCAGGAGCAGCCTCAGGGCTGCTCCATAGCCCGAACGAACGAAAGAGGGAGAGAGAGAGAGAGAGAAAGATATATATATATATAGAGCAGTGAGAAGAAGAAGAAGATATATATATATATATATACATATATATGTATATAGGGTGTGGGTTTAAGGGTTTCCCAAACTAGGGACATTATAGGGGATCTACGGCCCCATGATGGAGAATCAGATGGAAAAGAAAGTGCAACATTACATGAAAACTGGGATTCTAGGGGTGCTCATGCAGTTGTGGTTGTCGCACTTGCCCTAAACCCTAAACCCTCAAATGCTGCGCTCCGCAGGTTCTTGCGAAAGCTATTGAGAAGGGAGGGAATCTGTCCTGCTCATGAAAAGGGGGACGTAGCCTTGTAATCATGTTATGGCTTCTATCCAGGGAGCCCAATACCCGTTAATGGAGGAATAAACCTGAAATCACATTTGCGATTCAGGGCATCTTCCTTATTTGAAGGGGTATTGGGCCCTCTGCGTACCTAACAAAGGACAAGTGCCCAGAACACATTCCGCTTCAGCTCAATTTATTTATGACGACATCATCGAGCAGAGCGTTTGATGTCTAACGTTGCCCTTAATGTCGGGGAGGCGGCTAGTTGACGGCTTACAGCAAACCCTACACTCTACAGGGTTGATGGCAAGTTGGGGGCTTCCGAGTGTGATTCCACGTGGTGAATTTATTGTCTCGAAGTATTTGGGGCTCGTAGTGGAGTTTACGGCTTGGACTTTGGGCTCTAGGGTATGTATGTATCGTGTACGGCCTCATTTTTACCTTGGTTTTTGAGTGCTTTGACTTGTAGGGTCTAGGATGAACATGATTCTGTTCGCCATCTGGGCTGGAAGAAGGAGTTCATGGCGCCTGGCTCTTGTGGCAATGGGAGTTCTATCACTTGGCCTGGTGTCGACTGGAGGCGCGCATTAAAAGGGTTAAAGATAGTATAGTATATAGGGTAAGAAGAACATAATGTTGGAGCCTGATTAGAGTGGTATAGTGCGGTAGGCCGCTGCAAACAAACGTGGGCCCTTATGGAGTGGAGGAAGGTGACCTCCTGAATCTGCATTGTTATGTAAGCTATGTCAACAGGACATGGGTTTGCGGGCCCAGTAGCTCGGGTAAGACGGTCCTGACTTGAAATCCACAGGCAGAACATCCAAAAACAATTTCGGGCCGGGATTCAACATAATCTGAGATCTTTGTGTGAACTTAACTTTCTTCTGAGCCCTGACCTCTTCAAGATTCTAGAAGCCCTTCAGGTATTGGTGTGGTTTGGGCAGCATGCAGGCAGAAGCTTGCAAAATACAGCCGGCTTCTGCAGGCTTTCCGGACTCGGCAGCGTGACATGGAAGGATTTTTGAGGGCCTTGGGGTCCTTGGCTTCAAGTCGCATCCAGCGAGAAGCAAGGGATTATCAATCTGACTTCACGATAAACTACAGAGGGCTGTTTGAGGCCGATCCCTGGGTCTATAGATGGGATGTCTTGGAGGCTTGTGTTGGCAATCACGTCGAGCTCTGGGTGAATGGCATCAAATATTCCATAAGTGCCCCGACGCGTCGCGCAGGAGAGGCCTTGAATGGATGCTATGACAACATTGTGGGCTTCTTACAAGTGGAAAGCTTGACCAGTGGGCTTTTTCTCTGTATTCCTACCAGCGTCTGCTTGGACCCACTTTTAGTCGCATTTGAGAAAGCCTGGGTCGCTTGGGAGAGAGATTATATCCATGAGCTAATAGAGATCGAGAAGATGGCTCTCGAACCATTGCAAGTGGCCGTGGATCTCGAGACGGAGCTTCGGTCCATGCAAGCTAGCTGTGATGATTCTGGATGCCCCACGCAGAATGCAGGTTGCCTTACTACCCCTGAGCTGGATGCACAGCCTGGACAATCGACTGCTTTGAAGGAGCCAGGCGTCTTATCTTTGGCCATGGCATTGCAAGAGCATAGCAGCACACTTGGCAAGATTGTTCAACAGGCAACGCTCTTGAATACCATGGCAAACGTTGCGGGTAAAGGTCGCGATGATCTGACGATCGGGGTGCTTGAAGAGGCCGCCCGCGTGCTGCTCAGTCGCCCGGAGGCGGAGTTCGGGTCCCCATATATTCTATACGGATAATGGAAAAGGAAATGGAAGCTACTGTATTTAGCTTAGAGTTTAGGGGTTACAGGGAGAATGGAAAAGAAAATGGAAACTACCATATATTATTTAGGGCCAATTTAGGGTTCAGGGTTTGGGGGTTATATAGGGTTAATGGAAAAGAACATGGAAACTACTACGTCGTATATTGTTGCTATATAGGGATAATAGAAAAGAAAATGGAACCTACTATGTAGGAGTATATAGGGATATTACATAGGAATAATATGTCAGCAGCTAAGTTCAGGGGAATGCGCTGTTGCGCAAGATGCGCGGCGCGGATTTTTCCCAACACGGGGCCCAGGAGTCCTTTAAATATGTCTGCGTATTCCCCTTGTTCTCACAATTTGGATTTAACTGGTCCTCTATAACGATCATCTACAACAGCCTGTAGCCTGCGAGGCCAATTCCACAGCGCTTGGCCCTCAAGCCTGATCAATGTTGAAATATGAAGCCCTATACACTGTAAGCTCCGAACCAAAGAACCCCACACCCTGAATCCTGCAGACCCCAACATCTAGACCATAAACCCTGTACCCTAGGCCCTGAATCCAAAGAGGTGCCAGATGCACTCTGGGCGATGAAGGGGTACTTGGCAGCCGGGGCTCTTAGAAGAAGCTCGGCCACAGATGTGGGGGTTTCCCAAAATTAGGGGTACCATTTTGGGGGTCCTAATATTCAGGATTATAGTATATTGGGGTCTATATTGGGGGTCCCCTTATTTTGGGAAACTACCATGTAGATTTCTGAATGACTTGGCATTGAAGGATTCTCAAATTCTCAAATTGGGTAGTATTTATTTAGAGGATACTACGATACCCTATATAGAGCAAGCTGATAGCCTCCTTTTGAGTACAATCCTTTTTACGCGCTACCCAAATCGGGGTAAATTTGGGGCCCTGGGGATACATGGTTGGCAAGAGAACCACCCTCCCCCATGTGTGGTGAGGGGAATAATATGAGCGATATATAGTGAAAGCTCCTTAAGGGGGGTTTATCATTATATAGGGAACCACTATAAGGGGTTATTAATAGGGATACTAGGAGTTTAGACAATGGCTCATATGGGAGTGTGCAAGATGCACATTGGGAGCCAGCCTTCCGTCCATGAAGCTACCATCTAGGTTTAAGGCTAGGAGTTTGGAGTTCCTGGCTTCGGGCAGCTGTTTCTCATAGTCGATCAGATAGCTTGTAGAAATGCTGGGTATCCCAGACTTAAGATACGTCATGATCCTGAGTTCACGTGGCATCAAAATCAGTTGGGACATGGCGAGTAGACCTCCTGACAGGGGCGTCTTCTGAGACATTTGGGATTTGTTTTGCGGAGGCTTCTGGATTAGAGATTGATGTTGAGCTTACGTACCTGAAGTTCACGAAGTACTGTGAGAGAACAGATTCCATCCCAACTCGAGCCTTGCCATTTGTCTCTCTGATTTCTTTTCGTCCGTCTGTCTGTGTAAGGCAGTAAGGAAACAAGTAAGTCAGTACGCTTACATGCATGCATGTCGACAGCCTTTGCGTAGCTTCAATTCATCTGCCCCGGCGGCAATTGCAGTGCTCAGGCTTTATGGCGTTGCGAGATTACCTTTTCGCAGCTTGCCAGCAACAGTCAGATAGAGAAGCATGGTTGCCTTGGATTTATTTGCAGAAGACGTTACACCCCATGCCACTTGTTGAGGACATCAGGTTCAAGATGCAGACGGTTGATCCGAATTTGTGCAACAACCGCTTGCTGGCAAGATTGCTTCATCT